TGCAGCTCGCTGCGCCCGCGCTTCCCGCGCGCCTCGGTCACGTCCGGCTGCGTCGACCCAGCGAGCGCGTCGACCTTGGATCCCCACTCCTGGTGCATTGCGGGGCCCCGTGCTGCGTGTTTGGCCGTGCGCCCATTGTCGTTGTGGAAGCGAAGGCAGGTCGCGCTCATTCCTGCGCGCTTGCATCTGAGCCCGTCGCGCCTTGGCCCAAACTCTGAAGGCGTCGCCACGACGGGCCACGGGTCCGCGCATCCTGGGCCGGGAAAGCCGCGGTCGCGGCCCGTTGCCGCCGCCTCTTGCAGCCGCGCCCCGCGGCGGCCAGGGGGGGCCCCAGGTCATCGACGGCGTCGCCCGACAACTGCGCGCGCCACTCAGGGCGAAAAAATCAATCCCAACGCGGCGTTCTGCTTGCAGCTCCTGCTTGCCTTCCTCATCTGCGACGAAGCGGGCTGGGCCAGCTCGAGCGCGCGGCCCTCGCCCCGCCCTGCAGCGGCGGGCCCGGGGGCGCTGGCGCTCCGGACTGCCAGCAGGCACTCCTTGTATAACTTGCTCGCTGCGCCTGAATATTCGCCGCCGTTCTGTTCGGGGACGTCGCCAGCCCCGCGAAGGCCTTTCGTCCATCTGTCCGCTAGTCGGCGACACGTAAGAGTGACCCTAGGCAAGAGTGCCCTTTGGTGCGCGGCCTTTGGGGGGCCCGCGGGGGCCTGGAGCAACCGCGCAAGCCGAGGCCGTCGGATTGCATCAACGATCGGTGGGGCGCGCTTCAATAGATCCCTAGCGCCAGCAGGCAATTGCGGACTTCCGCCAATTCGTTCCAGGCGCCCCAGAACACCCGCCCGAGGGCTCTGCGAAACCAGACGCAATCGGGCGCCACCGCGGAATGTTCTGGCACTGCCGGGCCGCGTCGCGATGATGTCTGACCGGGTCCGGCGTCAAGGCCGAAACCGGGCCGAAACTTGGCCCCCCCCCGCGGCCGCAAATAACTTTCAATCGTGAAGAACTGAATTGTAAAGCGCGGAATGCGAAAAGTTTTTCACAGTTAGTCAAAGTTAGTCAAAGTTATTCCAGGACGATTTGGGACCGGTCCCAAAGCGGAGAGCACGTCGCCCGCTCGACTGGGGCCCCCCTCGCCAAACGAAGCACGCGGCAGAAAGCACCAGGCGTGCGTTGCGATCGATTGCGAGGGGCGCACCCAGAATCAAGCGCGCTCTGATGCGATCGCAGACTGGCGCAGCGTGCGCCGACACGAGGCCGAGCACACTCCCCAAGAAAATCTGTCCGACCCCAGTAGGGCCAACACTAAAGGTCACTCTGGCCAAGGGCCACTCGTACGTGTAGCCGAGCTAGGCCAGCCCCATCGCCCGCGGCGCCCCCAGCCCTCGCGTCGAACGAACAGCTTCTCGCAGCTCCGAGGGAGCTGGCGACGCGCGCGCCGACGCTCTCCGACTCATTTTTGGTCAGCCCAATGCCAGCGCAGGGCGCATCCGACCCCAGTACTTCGCGCAGCCAGTCTGTCGCGCGCCTGAGCGGCCCCCACAGCTGTCAAGCACCGCAATTATCCAATGGCCTGTCGTGCCCTCTCGAGCGCCTTGCTGAGCTCGTCGAGCCTGCCCGACAACGGCGGTTCCAGTCTCGCTTCTGGAGATGCTGTGGCCGCGGCGGCGTTGTTCTCGCGGGGCGGGCGGATCCGCGCGAATTTTGGCTCGCGCCCTCGGCTAGTATAACCGGGCGCATCTTCGTCCATGATGCGGCAGTTCGCCGCCAGCTTCTCTTCGGCACTTTCAATGCAGCCAGCTATTCCTTTGTTTGCCGGCACCTCCTCCGCGGGTCTTCCCCCGCGCAGGCGAACGCGCGCCGTCCACGTGTTAGTCTTGGCTTGCTTCCCAGATTCAATGCCCTCGCGCTGGGGCGCCCCAGGGGGCATGCTGGATCGTCGCCATCTCCGCGATCGCTGCGTTCTTGAGGACCACCACTGGCCTGCGCATGCGACCACTGACCGTGCTCGAGCGGGCGCAGGCGGCGCCGCCCCGCCAAGCTGCCCAGAACCTTCGGGGATCGAAAATACAACAATCCAGCGCTGAGCTCCCGACGACGCCACCGCGCGCGGGCGGCGCGCCGAACCACTTTCGCGCGGGCGTTGGCCAATATCCCGTTCGCGATGGCGAGGCCTTCGCCGCTGCAGAGGGCGCGCTTCCTGCCGCGCTCCCGCCGCGCAGCCGCCCTCTCCGGCGTCTGAGCTGAAGTCCCCCGTTGGCGTCTTGGCGCGCGGGGGCGAGGCCGCCGTGCACGGCGCGCCCCCTCCACGGAATCTGGATGGCGGATGACGCCCCGCTCGCGCGCAAATGTCTCGGCAGGCCCCCCCCCCGGGCCCGACGCTGCCCAGTCCCCTTCTTAGGCTCGGCATGCGGACGTCACCGCGACGCGGGTCACCCGACCTATCAGACGGCGCGCCCCGCCCGCGCCTGGGCCCCAGAAGTAATCCGACAGGCTGGCCCAAGTCGCTCCATTAACCAAAAATTAAAGGACGCTCGGATTCCCCTGCCCCCGCCCCCCCCCTGGCGCCCGAACTGTCGGCGAAGCCCCGTGGCAACGCGATGGGGGCCGGGCTCGAGAAGCACCCCGCCGTGCTCTGACGTGGATTCCGCGACACGTTCGCGCCATTCTTTCGTCGACAAAAACCATGCGGCGCCGCGATCGCGCGGCCTCGAGGGGGCGCCCGCCACCTCGCTCATGCAAAGACGCAATGTCGTCAGCGTTTGTCTGTTCTGCGGATGGCCCCTCAACCGCGCGTGGCCGCGCCTTCGGGCCTGGGCTCGAAGAGCACGCGCCCCGTCGCTCTGTCCAGGATTCCCCCCCGCCCGCGCCGAGGGCGCCACGGGCGCCGCCGACGCGGCGGATGGCCGCGCCGTGAACGCCTCTGCGGGCGAGGCCTGGCGCGCGATGTCCCGCGCGCCCCCGACGGCCATGCCGGGGGCCTCTGCGTCGGGGGCCGCGCGCTGGAACATCTCCGCGCCCCAGTCCAAGTGCCCGGCAGTGTCCATCACATTCGCGAACGTTCATGCGGCCACCATGTTGGGGCCACGCGCTGAAATACTTGTGCTGGCGTCGTTGGCGCCACTCGTTTTGCACGTGCCCAATGCCCCCGTACCTCCTACCTTCGAACGCAATTGCCGCAGCTGGCCTCTGTGCCCCGTTAGCTGATTGTGCAGGGCTCGTTGCAGATGTTGTTGGGCTGTTCGAAATCGCCGCCCGCGTCTAGAGGCCCCAGCATCGTCGCGAGCGCCCCTGCCCCCCGTGCTTCCGCGCGTGACCCATGCTCGATGGCCGTTCGTGCCCAGTGCGCGCCCTGCGCTCGCGGCACGGCTTGCGCCGCTGTTCCAGCGCCTCGATGTCTCGGCCTCTGGTGCCGCGTCGGTGCTTGTGGCGACCTTAGCTAGCATTGGCCGGGGCTCACTGCAGTCGCCATCCCGATCATTCGCGGGCGCCTTCTGCCGCGGCGTGGGCGCGACCATAGTCGACAGCAGCGCCGCGGCTCGCACTGCCGACTGATTCTTTGATAGATATATTGCGAAGCCGCTCTGTCCCAGCTTCTGGACCATGGATTTCGTAGCGATGGCCCGCGCGTCGCTAGCGCTGCTGCGCTTGCGGTCAGCAGTAGCCACCACTTGGCTTGCTGCCATCGCCTTGGCCCTGGCTCTAGCATCTGCCAAGTCCGATGCGTGCGTGTTGTGTTTCTGCTTCGCTCCGTCCAGCACAATGACCGCCTCCATGACCGTATTATATTTGTGCACGGCGGCCACCACCTGCTCGGCAAGCAAAATCTCGCGGCGCTTGGTTTCCAACTTGGCGGACCGCACTTTCGCGTCTAGCGTCTAGCGGCCTGGCATCATGCAGCTACTGTCGTAGGCCGTCCAGCTCTGTTTGGAACTTGGTGCCCTGGTCCTCGCAGTCCTTACCGCCTGCACGGGGCTCGAAGAGCTGGATTTCTCTCCGAAGTGGGCTCTGTTGCGCTCGGCTGCGCCAGGTGGGTTGCCGCCGCTGGCACCACAACTGCTTCCGTCGCTCACGCCGAAGTCCATGCACTCCTTCCCGCCGGAGCCCTGCCCAGCGCCTCCTGGAGCTGTTTGTTGAGCTTCTCCTTCTCGTTTTGAGACCAACTCCCAATGATCCCTGGGCACGCTTGGGTGGCCTTGTGCAGAGGCGGTTGCCTCTCAATCTCTCGCCCATGGGGTTCACCATCGTTGCCAGTGATATGTGTTGCACCCCCCGCAGAAAAGATGTACAAATTCTCGTTCTCGGCCCGACGGCCCATGCTCCACTTTGCCCACATCCTACCAATGATGATCTCTCGAACAGAATCGCCGGACCAACCACGATGACGCCAACGTATGAGTTCACCCCAGAACGCAGAGGCCAGCCCACGAGGGACGGGAGTCTGGGTGTGTGCCGCAGATCAGGGGATACTGGATGGTTGCCTCTCTGCCAAGCGCATCTTGAGCGAAAAAGGTTACGGAAAGAGGAGGATGAGGACAAGGGGTCAGGAGGAGGAGAAGGAGGAGGAGGAGGAGGAGCAAAACGACGACGAGGAGAGATGGGAGGAGGGGGATCAGCGCGTGGTCAACAGGAGGGGGAGGCAGCACACGCCACTCGACTGTTCTCGCCTCCTGCTCATCCTCCTCCCCCTCCTCCCCAATGTTTGTCCCCTCTTCCTCCTTTTTCTCCCACCGTTTTGGCCCTTTTACTTTCCCTCCCCCTGCCCCTCCCCCATCCCCCCCCCCCCTCTCCCCCTTTCCTCCTCCTCGGCCTCTGTCTCGGCCTCCGCCTCCGTTCCCGCCTCATTCTCCTCCTGTTCCTCCCCCTCCTTTTCTTCCTTTTCCTCACCCTTCTCCTTCTCCTCCTCCTTCTCCTCCTCCTCCTCCTCCTCCTCCTCCACCTCTCTCTCTGATCTCTCTCCCTTCCTGCTCCCCACCCGTCCCCTTCCCCATCCCGTCTCTTCGAACGTCCCCTTGCCCCACCCCGCTGCCGCCGCCGGGGGCGTCACCGGAACTGCTTCTTCATCGTCTCCTGGGCGGGGGGCGCTCTTTGACCGCAGGGCCGAGGTGGGCGGGGGGGGAGAGCGGGGAGAGCGGGGGATGGGAGGAGGCAGGGGGGCGGGGACGGGGAGGCGGAGGGAGAGGCAAGGGGAAGCACGGAGGAGAAGCGGGAGGGAAGGACGAGGAGGAGGAAGAGGAGGAGGACACCTCCACTACCACCTTCCGTAGCCCGTCGGCGTCCAGGTGATGGTCGCAAAATGGGAACGCAACGGTGCCAGACCAGGGCAAGCGCCTCGACGCAACTGCGGTCACCAGGAAACTCTGGGAAGCCCCTGCTGGGCCCAGGCAGCGGGCCCAAATCGGTCAGGAGGGCGGCCGAATGGCCCTCCGAGGGCCCCAAGAGGCTTCAAACACCCACCAGACGCCCAAAGACGACCCAAATAACACCCTCAAGAGGCTTCCGAAATGCAGGGAAGCATTCCACTCCGATGGTTTTGCCTGATTTTGGGAATGCTCTGTCCTTCGGTCTTCCAGGCATCTGAGACCGCCCAAGAGGCCCGAAGATCGTACCAACACTATCCGAAATGGCTTCCCGGCAATCCAAGAGACCCCCGAAACGGCCCAGCAGGGCCCCAACATGGCAGAAAGCTCCATGATGGCTCAAGATGGTCCCAAGATGCCCCCCGAAGCAATCCAAATCGTGACCTGGTCGATCAGCAAGACCGCAGTTGGAACCATGGTGACCCGAGGAAGCCCCCAGAGGCCACGAGAAGGCCCCCAGGAGGCCCCCAGGAGGCCTCCACAAGGCCCCAAGAACCCCTGAAACACTGTCGTGAGGTCCCCAAGAAGCTCTCCAAGGAGGAGCCTCCGCAAAAAGAGCAGAGAAGGATGGGGAAGAATTCGCAGAGCAGGGCGAGACTGATGAAGAGGAAGAGGGAGCATGAAGGAAGGATGACGAAATACATTATCATGGCGACGATGCCGGGCAAGGCGCAAGGCAACGAGGAATTCATTATTTGTTATGGTTTACCTCCCTGTCCTTCCGCCGCGACTTTCGCCTGCATGCCAAACTTCAAGGACCAAGGTGCATTGCGCCAAGCGGCAAAGCAGTTTTGTCCATACACGTGTATATGCATGTACAGTCATACATTCATACACACATGCATATGTACATCCATACATCCATCCATCCATCCATCCATCCATCCATCCATCCATGCATGCATACATACATACGTACATACATACATACATACATACATACACATATACATACACACATGCATACATACATACACACACATACATGCAGCCAGCCATACATACATACATGCATACATGCATGTATACATACATACACACATACATACATACATACATACATACATACATGCATACATATATACATACATACACACACATTTACATACCTACATACATACAAACATGCATAAGTACATGCATACATGTATACACATACATACATACCTACATACATACATATACACATACATACATACATACATACATACACATACAGACATACATACATCCATACATACATACATGCATACATACATGCATACATGCATACATGCATGCATGCATACATACATACATTGCATACACACATACATATATACATTTATATTAACATACATACAGACATACATACATACATGCATGCATGCATACATATATAATCACGTACATACACACATACATACCTACACACCTACACACATGCCTACATGCATACATGCATACATGCATTCATACATACATGCATACATACATATATAACTATATATGTATACATGCATGCATGAATGCATACATGCACACATACACATCTATACATATACATAAGTATATACACATATATAGCATCGTCCGAACCACGCGCGCTTCGCGCGCGCTTAGGTTCTAGCCGCGCCACTCACATCGCAAGTTGCCAGTGAGGATTGCAGGGGCGATTTGGGAGCTCCTTCCTTCGGAGGTGGTAGAAGGACCAGCGGCAAAGAAGTTTTGGGGTCCCAGCGACGTGCAGGGCAGTCCTGGGGCTTCTTCAACGCTTCTTGCGCTTCTCTGGATTCACCCGAGGACCTGAGGAGGAAGAGCTCAACACAGAAGAGTGAAGCCCGTCTGGCCCCGAAGTGCATGCGCCCACGGCCAAACCGCGGAGCATCGAAAGTCGTCCCCTCCCCTCCTGGCCACGCATCTGGGGCCTAACCACTGTGCAGCGAAGGCACGAAAACGCATCCAGGTCACAACGGCAGGGCCTCCAATTATATGATTTGTGCTTTGGGGCACTATTGAAGAGCTTCTGGACCACCTCCAGCTGTCTCTGGGCCGTCTTGGAGCCTCTTGGACGCCTGCCGGAGAAGCGGTATTGCCTGTGGGGGCCGTTTGTGGAACCGTCTTGGGGGGCATCCTGGGCCACCTTGAAATATATTGGGACACTCTTGGGCTGTCTTGGGGCCGTACTGGGGCCGCCTTCGGCCCCTCCTGGGCCATCTTGGGGTCCTCTTGGATATCTTGGGCCGTCGTGCCGTCCTTCGGGTGCCCTTTAGGCCATCTTGAGCCCCATTTGGGACCCTCTTGGGCCCTCTTGAGCCGTCTCGGGCCCATCTTGGGCCCTCTTGGGGCTCTTTTGGGCCGTCTAGGGGCGAACTCCGAGGTCGTAGGGGTGGTCTTGGGGGCACGGCTCCCGAAGCCCCCTCGAGCTCCTCCTCTTGAGTCCCTCTTAGGGGCGTTCTTGGGGAATTACTGGGCCATCTTTGGAAAATATTTGACTATCTTGGAGCCCTGTTGGTCCGTCTTGGCACCCTCTTGGAGCTCTGTTTAGCCCTTCTCTGGATCTCGGCATGCTCTTGAGCCGTCGAAGGCTTCCGGAAGTCCAAAACAGCGAGCCTGCTCAAATCCTGAACAAACCAAAACAGGCATAGTTGACGGTTTGCCTATTGGGGCCATCTTCCAGGTCCTCTTGGGAGGCGCTTGGGGCGTCGTGGAAACATGTTGGGCCGCACTGAGCCTGTGATCGGAATGATTGGGCTTTCTTTTTTTTGTTTTTGTGTTTTTTTTTTGTTGGAGGGGGCGCTCCCGAGGCCTGGCGACGGCCTCCAGCCTGAAAAGGCCGAGGTGAAGACGCGATACAATGCGCACGGACAGGACAGGAGAATTGCACTGTACGGAGACGCAGAAAAACTGGGCATTTCACGACTGTGAAGCAGAACAGCACAGCACGACTGTCTCACACAGTCAAGAAAGAGCGACCTACAAGCGTGATGCCATACCCGATCACCAGGTAGTGGTAATCTGGGTTCTGAGCACAAAGCTAACCTATTCATGCTTCAAGAACCCTTCGGTCCAGACCTCCAGCCTAATTTCATCAGAATCACTCGTCTGCGTCCGCGAAATCTGCCAATGTAAAAGAAGCGACACATTGCTTGTCTGCGACACACTGGAACAGACCACAATCGTACGCAACAAATATACTGACTTTTGCATACAATATCTTCTCATATATCTATATATATACAAACAATACATGTATATATACTGGCTTGGTCTGGGGGGTCAGCTCCTCCGGAGGACCCCAGAACGTATCACGACGGCCGAGCAAAGGGGGGTCGGCAACTCCGTCTTGACGGACCCCTGTTTTCCGGTCAACTCGGCTGCCTTGCGACGTCCGCAAACGGCGACGGCCAAGCACGGCCCGCACGCAAAAGTAAGGAAGCGGAGGAGGGGTGGGAAGAGGATAGGAAGGCGGGGTAGCAAATGAAGAGAGAAGAAGGAAGGAAGCGGGAGAAGGAAGGAGAGGCGCAGCAGCGCTCTAGTCACAATGCATGCCTCACCACTGGCTGTGGAGATAGCGAAACTAACATGAGCACAACGTTAGAGGCCGACCGCAACCTAGTCGAGGCGCAGATACAAGTACCACAAGAGGGCGACGCGATCGTTCGCCATCGACTACAACAACGAGGTAAGAACGCGCCATTAGGCAAGTCTGTCATGGTCAACACGCAAGTCACTGGAAAGTATCCAAACAGGCGCCACTTCAGGGCTACACCGAAAAGTCACTCGGCGGGCTGGGTGAAGGGAGCTGGTTGCAGGCCCCGACCGTGGAAGAATCATTGGGCGGCGCCGAACCCCACGGCGAACTCTGCTCGGTTCGCCTCGGCCGCCTGTCCACGCCATGGTTCCCTTCCTGAGCCAGGTAGTGTTCAGAAGGGCCGCCCTCCGAGGGGGTGCCCTCAGGAATGTCCCTGTCCAGGATCATGTCGTGCCGTTCCTCCTGCTCCCGCTTCAGTTCTTTGCGCAACTGGCAATACCTCACGGAGCAAAAGGCCATAGCACATAATACGAGAATCACGCTAACAGTGGTGCCCACGACGACCAAGAGGTAATCGTCTTCTTCTCCCGTCGCTGTCGTCACGGGATCCGACGTCGAAGGTGTGACAGCAATTTTTTGGGGCTGGCCGTAAGTTATCTGAACCTGGCCGTCGTTTTCCATTCCCTCATTTGCCAAAGCGGTCGTCAGAAGAGCGGCAAATGAATCGTTGGTTCCGTCGGACAGCCCAGTCGCATAATCAAATACTCTGTCGATGGTGTCTTCATCTGCAGCTATCTCATAGTCGACCGTCCAAGAGTTCAAGGTTGTGAGCTTCCTGGCCGTATTCGAGCTTGTGAGCTGCCTGGCCGTCACGGTCACAATACTCAAGGCTACCTCGAAATATTCAGCCAAAGCAGTCGACGCCGCACTCTCCACCTGTTCTTGCGTGCCAGAGCTAGCGAACTCCATTGAGGCCCTCACAGACCAAAGCAGCGTGGTGATGCTCGTCTGTGTCGTCATCGTAGTGGTTGCACCGAGAAGGGTGGTGGTGGTTACCGTGGTACTGGTCCAGGTAATGCTGGCAGTGGCGGTGCTGGTCATGGTGGCAGTGGACCCCGTCTGCGTAGCGGTGCTGGTCATGGTGGGACTGGTCGTAATGGTGCTGCTGGTCATGGTGACACTGGTCATGGTGGCAGTGGAGCCGGTAGTGGTGCTGCTGGTCATGGTGGCACTGGTCATGGTGGCAGTGGTCAAGGTGGCACTGGTCTGGGTAGCGGTGCTGGTCATGGTGGCAGTGGTCTCAGTGGTGGTACTGGTCGCGGTTGTGCTGGTTTCTGTAACGCTCACTGTTGTCCGGGTGGCAGTGATGATCTTGATTTCTGGCGCTGTAACTGTAACTCCTGCTGCCTCCAGGCCTTGCGACTCGAAGCTCGCTTGCAGAGACGCTGAGAAGTTTGATGTATCATTAGCGACCTGGCTTGCAATATCGAAGATTTGCGTGGCATCATTTATTGGTGCGACAATCTCATAATCGGCACCATACGAAGAGCTGGACGACCGGCTTACGGGAGAGATGACTTCAACTGATATCGATAATTGATCGGGTTCTATGTTATACAGACCCAAGAGATAAGCAGACAGTAAACTAGTTACATTGTCTTGCGTGCCCGAGCTTGCCAAAGTTATGGAACTGCTTACAACGTAAAGCGGCGTAGTGGTAGTAGACGAGGTTGAGCTGGTACTGGACGCCGAGGTGCTGCTCACGGTGGTGCTGGTGCTGGTCAGGCTGGTACCAGTCAGGCTGGTGCTGGTCAGGCTGATGCTGGTCAGGCTGTTGCTGGTAAAGCTGGTGCTGGTCAGGCTGGAAAAGTGCGGTGTCGTGGTGCTGGTCATGCTGCTGATGGTCCCGGAAGTGGTACTCGTCTGGGAACGCGTGGCGGCTGTGGTGGTGTGCGCAGTAGTGGAGGAAGTCATGCTGCTTGTGGTCACGGTGCCAGTGGACGCGGTTGTGGTGCTGGTCGTGCTACTGCGAGTCGCGGTGCTGGTCGTCAATGTGGCAGATGTCACGCTGGTGGTGCTTGTCCCGGTGGTCAGAGTAGTACGGCTGCTCATGGTCGAGGTAATGCTGCTGCTTGTAGAGCCACTGGTCTGGGAAGAAGTGCTGGACGCGGTGAAGCTCGTCAATGAGGAGGCGCCAGTTGTGGTAAACGTAGAGGTCACGGTGGTGGTCATGGTGCTGGTCATGGTGACAGTGGACAAGGAAGTTGTACTGGTTGAAATGGTGAACGTCAGGGTAGTGCTGCTAGTCGTTGTGACAGTGGTCAGGGTAGTGGTGTTGGTTGCAGGTATGCTCGTCAGGGTAGTGGTGCTGGTCATGGTGACAGTGGTCAGGGTAGAGATGCTGGTTGCAGGTATGCTCGTCAGGGTAGTGGTGCTGGTCATGGTGACAGTGGTCAGGGTAGTGGTGCTGGTCATGGTGTCAGTGGTAAAGGTCATGGTGCTGGTTGCAGTTGTGCTCGTCAGTGCATTGGTGCTTGTCATGGTGGCAGTGGTCAAGGTCATTGTTCTGGCCATGGTGCTGGTCACGATGACAGTGGTCAGGGTATCGGTGCTGGTTGCAGTGGTGCTCGTCAGGGTAGTGGTGCTGGTCATGGTGTCAGTGGTAAAGATCATGGTGCTGGTTGCAGTTGTGCTCGTCAGTGTATTGGTGCTTGTCATGGTGGCAGTGAACAGGGTACTGGTGCTGGTTGCAGTGGTGCTCGTCAGGGTAGTGGTGCTGGTCATGGTATCAGTGGTCAAGGTATTGGTGCTGGTTGCAGTTGTGCTCGTCAATGTATTGGTGCTTGTCATGGTGGCAGTGAACGGGGTATCGTTGCTGGTTGCAGTGGTGCTCGTCAGGGTAGTGGTGCTGGTCATGGTGGCAGTGGTCAGTGTAGTAGTGCTGGTTGCAGTGGTGCTCGTCAGGGTAGTGGTGCTGGTCATGGTGGCAGTGGTCAGTGTAGTAGTGCTGGTTGCAGTGGTGCTCGTCAGGGTAGTGGTGCTGGTCATGGTGTCAATGGTCAAGGTCAAAGTGCTGGCTGCAGTGGTGCTCGTCAGGGTAGTGGTGCTGGTCATGGTGGCAGTGGTCAGTGTAGTAGTGCTGGTTGCAGTGGTGCTCGTCAGGGTAGTGGTGCTGGTCATGGTGGAAGTGGTCAGTGTAGTAGTGCTGGTTGCAGTGGTGGCAGTGAGCGGGGTATCGTTGAACGGGGTATCTTTGCTGGTTGCAGTGCTGCTGGTCAGGGTAGTAGTGCTGGTTGCAGTTGTGCTCGTCAAGGTAGTGGTGCTGGTCATGGTGGCAGTGAACGGGGTATCGTTGCTGGTTGCAGTGGTGCTCATCAGGGTAGTGGTGCTGGTCATGGTGTCAGTGGTAAAGGTCATGGTGCTGGTTGCAGTGGTGCTCGCCAGGGTAGTGGTGCTGGTCATGGTGACAGTGGTCAGGATAGTGGTGCTGGTCATGGTGACGGTGGTCAAGGTCATGGTGCTGGTTGCAGTTGTGCTCGTCATGGTAGTGGTGCTGGTCATGGTGGCAGTGAACGGGGTATCGTTGCTGGTTGCAGTGGTGCTCGTCAGGGTAGTGGTGCTGGTCATGGTGGCAGTGGTCAGTGTAGTAGTGCTGGTTGCAGTGGTGCTCGTCAGGGTAGTGGTGCTGGTCATGGTGACAGTGGTCAGGGTAGTGGTGCTGGTTGCAGTGGTGCTCATCAGGGTAGTGGTGCTGGTCATGGTGTCAGTGGTCAAGGTCAAAGTGCTGGCTGCAGTGGTGCTCGTCAGGGTAGTGGTGCTGGTCATGGTGGCAGTGGTCAGTGTAGTAGTGCTGGTTGCAGTGGTGCTCGTCAGGGTAGTGGTGCTGGTCATGGTGGCAGTGGTCAGTGTAGTAGTGCTGGTTGCAGTGGTGGCAGTGAGCGGGGTATCGTTGAACGGGGTATCTTTGCTGGTTGCAGTGCTGCTGGTCAGGGTAGTAGTGCTGGTTGCAGTGGTGCTCGTCAGGGTAGTGGTGCTGGTCATGGTGGCAGTGAACGGGGTATCGTTGCTGGTTGCAGTGGTGCTCGTCAGGGTAGTGGTGCTGGTCATGGTGGCAGTGGTCAGTGTAGTAGTGCTGGTTGCAGAGGTGCTCGTCAGGGTAGTGGTGCTGGTCATGGTGTCAATGGTCAAGGTCAAAGTGCTGGCCATGGTGCTGGTCATAGAGCTAGTACTCGTCACGGTTGTGCTGGCAAGGAGCCTCCTGCCCTCCTCAGACTTGGTGGCGATCTTTGTCCACCTGGTGCCAGTTATGGAAACGATTGTCAAGGTGTCGTTGCTGATCATGGAGTCCGCGGCTTGAATTGCACGTCCACCACCGCAAATACAGCAAGCTTGCACAGCCGAATGGCCTGCGCTCCCCAAATCCGAGGGATAGCCGATGATGGCATGGCGATTCATGACCTGATCAGCAGATGCCGTGCACAAGTCCGCGTAGTCGTCGCAATGAAGCCCTCTACTATCGGTCCAATCTGCGGGGTTGTTTGCACAGCTCTGCGTCTCATGACAGCTCGCCTCATGTATCATCACCGCCAGAAAAAACGCAGTGAACACCCCGTGCACGCTGCAATGTAAGTCACACGGACTGCCCTGGCGCCCAGGGCCCTTTGACATCGTGGGAGGCACCTGCGCGTTTCAAGCTAAAGACTGTGTATAGTCACCGAGAACGGGCTCGATTCAAGCGCGGGATGCCTAACAGTCCTGGCGCGCTGGCGCGAAACAGGCCACAATGCTCGAGCCAACATGGCTACGGACGAATTATTGGGCTTGCTTGGGCCGTCTTGGGGCTCTGTTGGGTCGTCCTCTTGGCCTCGCTTCGTGGTGTCCAGCGTGTATTTTGGGACGCAGCCCCCGAGAGCGCCCCTAAAGGGCCCGTCAGTACTGGGTCCGTCAATGTCCATTGACAAGGACACACGCGCACACGTCCTCCAGGGCCGTCGGAGACTCTTCGGAACTCCAGCGGGCCAAAATCGGTCAGGAGGGCGGCCGAACGGCTTCCCGAGGGTCCCAAACACCCGACGGACGCCCGAAACCGACCCCAAAACACCTCCGAGAAGCTTTCGAAATGCAGAGAAGTATTGGTTCCCTATGGTTCTTGTAAGATCTGTGCCCCCCACATCTGAAATGGGCATCTTGTTGTCTCTGCACACCCCTCGCGCAGGATCTATTCCTCCCCTCCTCCTCCCCCATCTCCCTTCCTCGCTCACACACCCACACACCCACGCACTCATCATCAGCATCATCAGCATCACCACCACCACCATAATCATCACCATGACCACCATCATCAGCAGCATCATTTCCATGATCATCATCAGCATCAGCATCACCAGCATCAGAAGCAGCATCATCATCATCATCATAACCATCATCATCATCATCATCACCATCATCATCATCATCGTCACCACCACCATCATCATCATCATCATCATCATCATCATCATCATCATCATCATCATCATTATCATCATCATCATCATCATCATCAGCATGATCATGATCATTATCATCATCATCGTCATCGTCATCATCATCATATTCATCATCAGCATGATCAGCATCGTCATTATCATCATCAGCATCATCATCGTCGTCGTCATCACAATCATCGTCAACACCATCATGACCTACATATATTACATCACCATCATCGCCATCGTCATCATCACTATCATCGCTATCATCACTATCATCATTATCATCATCATCATCATCATCATCATCATCATCATCGTCAGCAGCAGCATCAGCATCATCATCATCATCATCATCATCAGCATCATCATCATCATCATCATCATCATCATCATCATCACCATCATCATCATCATCATCATCATCATCATCGTCAGCATCATCATCACTGTCATCATAGTTCCCCGCAAGGGCACCCCGCGCAAGAACACACCGACCAAGACACACACTCTTAAGCATCACCATCATCATCGTCATCAGCATGCACCCACTCATCAGGCGGGAAGCCCCCCCTATGGGGATCCCACTGCATGCTGGCGACCGATACCAGGCATAGCACTTGACCATCACAAGGGGGCGAATCGTGAGGATGTTTCTGACAGGGGCCATGTTTCTGAGTGACGTGAGTGAAAATCGCAGGCAGGAGCCACCTAGTTGATGAGACCCACAGTTCGTGTTGGCTTTCCGGGCGGTCAACGGAAACACTCACCAGGCATAACGCTTGAGCTACCCAATGCGCAATTCGTGAATGTGTATCCTGCGGTGGTCTCGCTTGTGAGCGTTTGCGATCCGAACGGGGCATCGGCAAACCCCATTGGGCATAACACTTAAACACCCCAATATGGCAAATCGTGAGGATGTATCGTGCGGGGGGTTCGGTTGTGAACGAATCGCAGGGATATTTCAAGCGGGAACGCCCTCCCTATGGGGCCCGCATGTCACATTCGAGTCCGAACGGGTCATCGGCGAACTCGACCAGGCAAAAAGCTTGAACATCCGAAGGGGGCAAATCCCGAGGATGCCTCAAGCGGGGGCTTCGTTTCTGAGCGTATTGGCAGGAAGTCTCTGGCGGGAGCCCCTTGTATGTGGGGCCATCAGCTCGCGTTGGTAACTCGAACGGGTCATAGGGCACAGTTACCCGCCAAAGCACTTGAACATCCCAAGGAGCAAATCGTGATATCCCGAGTGGGAACCTCGCTTGTGTTTGAATCGCGAACAAGCTCAAGAAGGAACCCCTTCCTTATGGCGCTCGAATCTCACGTTTGCAATTTGAACGGGTCACACGCGAACTTTACCAGGCATAGCCCTCGAACGCCCCACGGGGGCAAATCGCGGGGATGGTTCGAAAAGGGGTCTCGTTCGTGAGTGAATTGCGGGGGGGGGGTCCTTTTTTGATGGGGCCCGCGCGTCGCGTTTGCAATCCGAGCGGGTCACCGGCACATTTTTCGAAGCGAAACCTTTGAGCATCCCAAGAAGGCAAACCGTGAGAACGTCTCAAATGGTGGCCTCGCCTGTCAATGGATCGCGAGGAGGTCTCAGGCGGGGGCCCCTTCCCTACGGGGCCCGTGCTTTGCGTCGGTAACCCAACCAGGTTTAGCGCAAACATCTACCAAGCACAGAGCACGTGGGCACCCAAAGGGCGCGACTGCGACGCCACCGCTTGCACGCCCCAAAGGGGCCATTTGAGCACCCAAAGGGGCCGCGCGCCGTGCGCCCCTCGGGGCTCACCCGGGCGCGCACGCGCCCTACAAGAGCCCATGCTGTCGCAGGGCCAGACGGTGCGCAGGGGCGTTACCATCGACAGCTCCCGGGATGGAGACGCTGGTCGCACGGGCACGTGGGCGGAACCGCGGTCGCTGTATATTGTGCGTCGCGCTTCCCCGAGCAACGCGCACGCGGAACACGCCGATCCTGCGGCCGCCCACGCGAGAGCTTCCGAAGCGCTGGCCGCTCTCTTCCCTGCGAAGGCGCTCGGGCAGTTCGACAAGAGAACGGTGAGCCCCATGGCTGGAGCGGAGCAACTCGCGGCAGCTGGGCTTCGCGCTGCCTCCCGCCTGAGCGCGCCCGCGACTAGCTCGAGACATGCGGGGCTGTCCCAGCGGCTGCCTCCCGCGTCCCAGCGGCGCGCGGGGTTGCCCCAACGGCTTCGCGATCCAACTATCGGAAAAAGCGACCCTCCTGGCCGTGGCGGCGACGGTGTTGAGGAAAATCGGCATGCGTTCCCCGTCCGGAAGGGAGGAGAGGTGCTTAAGGAGAGCAGGCGGGATGGAGATGAGGAGAGGGAGAAACAGGAATAAGTGACAATGAGGAGGAGGAGGAGGAGGAGGAGGAGGAGGGAAAGAGCGAGAAGGAGCAGGAGGAGGAGGAAAAGACATGGAACGACGAGGACGAGAAGGACGGGGGGACGGAGGACGAGGAGGGGGAGGAGGAGGAGGAGGAGGAGGAGGAGGAGGAGGAGGAGGAGGAGGCGCAACACATGGCGGGGGGAAAGCCTCCGCCAGGGCGAATGGGAAAAAACGAACGGCAAGCCAAATAGATTTTCGTGCGGGGTCCTACCGTCGGAGTATTGAGAATGCTCTGTTCTTCGATACTCGAGGCGTTTGATACCACCCAAGAGGCATGAATATCACGCCACAACTACGAAAAGGATTCCAGCCAATCCAAGAAACCCCCGAAACGGCCCAATGAAGCCTTAAGATAGCCCGAAGAAAGCCCCATGACGGTCCAAGATGGCCCCAAGACGCCCCCCGAAGCATTCCAAATCGTGACCTGGTCGTTCTGGGAGACTGCACTTGGAAGCAGGGTGGCCCGAGAAGCCCCCAGAGGCCCCAAGAAGGCGCCCAGAAGGCCTCCAGAAGGCCTCAATTAGCTCTGTAACATTTTCATGAGGCTCACAAGAAGCTCTCCAAGGAGAAGCCTCCGAAAAAGAGCAGAGGAGGATGGGGAATAATTCGCAGGGGAGGGCGAGGATGAGCAAGATGAAACAAGAGGGAAGGATAACGAAATACAGTATGATGACGACGATGCCAGACAACGCAACGAAGAATTGACGCTATTTGTTCTGCTGTACAGTCCTGTCCTTCCTAGGCGGCCCAAGAGGCCTCGAGAGGCATCCAAGAGGTGTCGCTTCAACGACCCGGCCAAGGTGGCGGGATGGGCCGACGGCCACTATTGAAGCGGCCTAGGGACACACAAGTAAATACACACAAATCCCAGGATTCCACATAATTTCCAATGTTTTCTCGGCTTTTGGCTTCCCGCCCCCACTTCCCATATTTTCCCATAGTCTCTGGGAATCGGCGATCAACTGTATGTGCGTGTGCGTGTGCGCGTGCGCGTGTGCGTGCGTGCGTGCGTGTGCGTGTGCGTGTGCGTGTGCGTGTGCGTGTGCGTGTGCGTGTGCGTGTGCGTGTGCGTGTGCGTGTGCGTGTGCGTGTGCGTGTGCGTGTGCGTGTGCGTGTGCGTGTGCGTGTGCGTGTGTGTGTGTGTGTGTGTGTGTGTGTGTCACCCCTGTCTGCTTGCGCAGAGGTTCTTGGCGTGCCGACTCTTCAAACACTTCTTGGCCCCCCCTCCACAAAGTTCACAGAGCCAAAACAACTCGCCTGCGAGATGGCCAGAGTGGCCCAAGAAGGGAGACAAGATGGTCCCACGACGCCTCCGAGACGGCCAATAGGGCCCCAGGAGAAGCCAAGATGGCCTCAAGATGCCTCCAAGACGATCCAAGATGACCCCAGGACGGCCGAAGATGGCCATGAGACGGCCCAAGAGGCTCCCGACAGGGCCTAAGAGGGCTCCAAGAGGGAGTGCCTCTTGATGTTTTAATGGTTTTCTAGTTTTCGCCTGTTCGGGCTTCTGGCAGCCCAAGACGGCGCCAGACGCCTGTCGGATAGCCCCAAGACGGCCCCAGAAACCCTCTGGAGAGCCTCACGGAGGGCCACGAAGGCCCCAAGACGGGCCGATGAGTCCCTCAGACGGCCCCAGAGACCTCCAAGACAGCCCTGAAGAGCCTCCAGAGGGCCCCAAGACGGCCCAGAGAAGCCCCAGAGACGGCCTCCGCAATCCATGATGCCTCCCGAGAGGGAGGCCTCAGACGGGTCTCCCTATTGGCTCCAGGAACCCATCAAAGGCCCCGCACAAGACCCCGAGAAGATCTCAGGAAGCCGGCAAGAGATCCCAAGAGGCCTCCAAAACACCCACAGAGGCCTCATCTGCTTCCTGCAAATTATCCTCCACCTCCACCTTCTTCTCTTCTTCTCCTTCATCCACCTCCTCCTCCTGCTCCTGCTTCTCCTGCTCCTGCTCCTGCTCCTCCTGCTCCTGCTCCTGCTCCTCCTCCAAGTGTTCCCACACAGGATTCCACAACGGCTGGGGGAAGACAGCCCAGCACCGTGGCGAGATTTTGGCACCACCCTCGGCCACACACGCGCTCACCGAAGGCAGGGGGCGACAGTGGCTCGCCGCAGGCGCCTCCGATATTCCTTACCGTTGCACTGACTACCTACCAAACCACCCCAACCCAACCCGAGGACCCGAATTTGACCCGAATTTCGGGTTGGGGGGGGGTACGGGTTCCACATGTGTTTTTGTCGATGTTCCCCGACCCCCCCCACTGGAAATGGAGGGCAAATTGAAGCATTTGGGTTAGGTTGGGGCGGCTTGGCGGGCGGTGCTGTACGCGAAGGCGTGGGCCAGTTTGGGAGGTGGCCGGGCGGTCCGAGCTGGATCAGCCCAGAGACAAAACTGGTAAAGGGGGGGAGAATGGAGGCATATTAAATTCACTCAAAATTGGTCCCCAAACCCTTGGCTCAGACCCCATCCCGTGGTCGAACCAACAACGCGGTCCCCAAACCACCTCGCCCCCTGCGGGGGCGACTGCAAGTCCTGCCGACCCAGCCCGGAACCTTGCCTCCCGGGGGCCGCTGGCCAACCTTCTGGGCTGGGGCGGCTTTCAGGGGCCGGAGAGGCACGAATATCGGTGGCCGGTGCCAATACCGATACTCACTGCGGGCCGGGGGGCAATACAACACACCTTGCGGGGGGTAATGCAAGACACCCTCGCTTCCTGCGGGAGCGAATCCAAGCCGCCCGTCCCGGCCTCTCTTCGGGTTATCTTGGGGCCCTGTTGGGCCGTTTCGGGGCTCTCCTGGACTGCCTGGAAGCCCTTCCGGATAGTCTTGGTCTGATTTTCGAGTCTCTTGGGCGGTATCGGACGCCTGGCGGACCGAATAGCCGAGCACCCAAAAAATCATACACATACAATTGGAAATCAATGTCTTTCTGCAGTTCGGAAGCCTCCTTGGAGGTGTTCTTTTGGTCGTCTTCGGGCGTCTGGTGGACGCTTTGGGCCCCTTGGGGCCCTCGGGGGACCGTTCGGCCGCCCTCTTGACCGATGCGGGCGCGCTGCCCAGGCCCAGGAGGGGCTTGCAGAAGCTCCCACAAGCGCGGGGGACCTTCTGCAAGGGCGTCCAGGGGGCCCTCAGGGCCAGGGATCCGGGGGGTCCCGTCTGGGGGGGGGGAGTCGCAGGGCCCCATATTATAGAACATATAAAACAGGGTGTGTGTGTAAATGTGAATCATCATCATATATATATATATAGCATCAATATATACGTATACATATATGTATATATATATATATATACACATATGTGTATACATGTGTAAATATACATACATATATCTATATGTATATATATATGCATGTATAGCTGTATACGTATATCTATCGAGCTCCCCAAGGGCACACAACAAAACTCGGAGCAACGCAAGATGAGACAACGGCAGCTCAAGCTCCGCCCCCGGGCCCCCCTCGGTTTTACTGGCCGAGGCCCGGGCGACGAGGGGCACCCACCGAAGGCCAACTGGCGCTGCCTCAAGCTGCCCTGCCTCGAAGAACGAGCCCTGGGCCGAGACGTCCCGAGCCCGAGTGGCTGCGGGCTGCTCGTGAAGGAAAAACTCGCCATCGCTCGGACGTCCATTTCTGGTGCATGTTTCGGTTTCGTGCGGGTTTTTGTTTGCTCGATGGTCCAGGATCCTCCTCAATGGTTCTCGCCGAGACAAAATGCACACGTCCGAGCGAGGCCAGGAAAACAGGTCCGCATCGGTGGCCACGCGGGCTGGGCTCCGGGCCGAGGCCCCGAATATGCCGAGCCTGTTCTGCGCAGAGGCCCCCGCGCGGAACGAGTCCGTGCAGCCGCGTGCCCGCGGGATCGCGCCCCAGAATCCAGACTGCAAGGGCGCGGACACAGATACGTTCGCCGCTCTCCAATCGACTCGCGGGGATCAAGCTACATAAAATGAAGTAGATCGAGGCACATCCGAATCAATCTAGGTGAATACAAAAGATATCCAAGCAAATCTGGAGAAATCGTGAAACTTCAGCGCGAGTCGAGGGACAGCGGAAGTCGAGAGACCACAATTGGGTCGAGAGCGCCCCACCCATCCTCTCCGCTCGCCACGGAAGAGATGGAGAAGACTCGCCTCCACTCCCGTCCTTCTCGAACTCACTTCTCTCTCCTCCTCTCCGTCTCCTTCCTCCTCAAACCCGTTCTCCATGAACTCTCTCGCTCTCTCCTCCTCTTCTATTCTTTCCTCCTCATCCGTCCATCCCTCCCACACTCACCGCGTCTTCCCCGTCGTCATACCGCCATCCTCCACCAGCACTTCCAAACCGAATCAAACATCCGATCAAACGTAAGCCGCAAGGTATTCGAGATGTGTGAACGCGCCCCGTGCGTATCCTGCTGCTTTCTTAGCCGTTCCTGGTCTCGCTCCACCTTCTTAGTGATCCCTGGCAACATCTCGTTGTGATGATCCAGGGTTCTGTTGATGACCTTGGGAGGCGCCGCGTTACAATCGCGACGGCGTCACATACTGGCCGATCTCTCTTCCTCGTCCCTGGTCGCTCCTCCTCCTCCTCATCCTCCCCCTCCTCCTACGCCTCCTCCTTTTCTAGAGGCCTCCCAAACGGGGTCCGCATAGATAGGGTCAGATGATCCCGCCGCATTCGCGTTGCATCGCAGATGCATCGGCGATGCATCGGCGACGTCGGCGGTGCATCGGCGAGGCCACGAGGGAGAACATCGCGCTCCACATCGAGCCGCATCGCAGGAGCGATCCTCCGACCCCGTGTACTTCGACCCCCTCACGTATGCCTGGATGATTCTCCTCTTCCTGCTGATCCTCGACAAAGCCCTTACCGTCCGCCTCCTGCTCCTCCTCTTCCTCCGCCTCCTCCTCCTCCTCCTCCTCCTCCTCCCAGTCCTCCTCCTCCTCCTCTTCCTCCTCCTCCTCCTCCTCCTCCTCTCCTCCTCCTCCTCCCTCAACCTCCTCATCCTCCTCATCATCTTTCCTCTCCTCCTCCTTCCTTCCCCCTTTCTCCTCCTCCTCCTCCTCCTCCTCCTCCTCCTCTTCCCCGTCCTCCCTGCCCCTGGAGCAGTCGTGCGATTCTGACCGCTGCGCTCGCCTGCCTGGCCGCCCCTCCCCCCCACGCAGCCCGCGGCTGGGGACGACCGCTGAAGCCCCGCCCTGCCCAGCGTCGCCGACCCATCCTGGGATCAGCCGACATCGAATCGCGACGCGAATCGATGCTGAATCGATGCTAAATCGACGCCGAACCGACGCGAAAGCAACGCTGAAGAAGTCGCCGCTTCCAAGGGACTCTCCCATCGATCGCCAGACGCTGGCGCACAAGAGTGCGCCCCAAAGACAGATATGTGAAGACACACAAAACTTCCATGAGACAAGGACCAGAACCCAACAACAGACCCGTCGCAGGATGAACCAGCATCGAACCGGAAGATCTGATCTAATCGGCATTCCGAATCCCATGATAATTGGCTACCTACCAGACCACTCCAACGATTGGGTTTTTGAGGGTACTAATATCAGGGTGGGAACTACAAACATCCCAAACGAGACATTGTAGACCCCCTCCCCAGACCAGCCACGATAAGGCGGCCTTGTGCCACGACCCCTCTCCGAACCCTCATGGACAGCTCAAACCAGACCAACTGTCAACGCAGACCACCCCCCTTTTATGGTGAAATCCTGGGATGTCGTGCACGAAGTCGGATCGGTCGGGCCAGGATGCACAACGACGCCATGTGAACGTCGGGCCGCATAGGATCGATGGAGCATCAGAATCGAATCGGATCGGACTGGCCCAAGTCGATATCGAATCGGACCAATCGGATCGAAAGGGACCCCGACCCACCGCGGGGCATCCCTGCTCTGTCGAGCAGGTTGCCCAGACATGCCCGCGTCGTAACACAAACATCGCGACGGGATGGGTTGGGACATGTCGGCTCTTGGGGGCCCTCGCCGTGCACTGGGGCAGAGACCCAGGGATGAACAACCGGCCCCGGGGAAAGGGTCAGGACTTCCAGGGACCACGTTTTGAGAGGCTAGAGAATCCACCCCGATAATAACCACCCCGACACGCGAAGCCGTTTGGTAAACGCACCCAAAGAAGAAATCAAACAGGGCAGGGCTGTTTAATAAACGCCCAGGGCCGTTTAGTAAACGCCAATTGTCCGGTCCGGGTTGGTTTTCCTCCCTTGACAACCGGCCCTGGGAAAAGAGTCGGGACTTCCAGGGACCCCGTATTGCAACACAAACAGAGGGTCGCATGTCTGGATGGGATACGTGCATGCAAGGCGTAGGGCCCTCGCCTGGCCCTTCTCCTTCAAGCCCGTGAGAAGATTGTCAATGTCGTCGTATGCCTGACGAATCGATACGCATCCCCACCCCCACTTCCGAGGGCAACAACATGCATAGATCCATGCTTCGGCGATCATGAAGTCTGTGATCTGTGTAGCCAACACCGTTCAAATATCGTTATGGTGAACACGATGACCAACTGATGCGGACATTTGCTTCCACTACCGTGCCCTCTGGCACGTCGAGGCGTGGTAGGGTGCTGTGCAGCAGGATTTATATAGGTCTTCTAAGCCCCACCTCCAAGTAGCCCTTCCCTATGTGTCTCCCTTCCTGAGGCTCCCTGACCGGCTTCAGGCTTGAACCGGAGCAGCTCTCTTAAGATTCCAAGACGGCCCAGGAAGGGCACCGAGGCCGCCAGGATGGCCCAAACAGAACACTGCTCCAACATGCGCCCAACCAAAACGAACCCAAAAGGCGCCAAAGAGGCACAACATGGCTTTCAAGACATCAATGAAGCCCAATTTGGGGGCCCAGGACAGCCTAACAGATCCCCGAGATGGCCCAAGAAGGCCGCAAGAGGCTCCCAGGACAATCCCTGACAATCTCCCAATGCGGCCCGGAGGGGTCAAAGACGGCATCAAGAACGGACGGCCCAAGAGACCCTCACGACGGCCCAGAAGGGTCTCAAGATGGCCCCGAAAGGGACCCAACAGAAGCCCGAGACATCACGAAAACGGCCCTCGTAGCTCACACGAGGGTCCCTCAAAGAATGAGGGGCGCCACCTGTTACGAAGCGTCGCCGCACGGAGTGCTGCGCTGACACGGTAGTGGGACATGCCGCTGGCGACTGGCGGACAAAAAGGTCGCGGTATAAACATCCAACAAGCAACACAAACTGTTGACCCAATGGGACGCAAAAGGACATACTAATACTGTGCGCCTCTCTTGGGGGCGCATGTCCAAGGCGAATACATGGTACGATCTTCGTACTGTACACCCTTTTCCCCAGCGGTAACTATGGCCAGAAAGCGCCCGCCATCGAGCGTGTACTATAAGAATTCGGAGCGAACGCGTGTCGCCTTTAGGGGAGCCGCACACAGGATAAAAGGTCCGCATGAGTGAACCCGATCCAAAGGCTGGGCTTCAGAAGAAGCCCTTGTAAATACCACCACATGGAATTCACACAGGGCGACACTGGCGCGTGCACCCCACCAATGAAATCTGGACGGGGCCGATAGGACTCATACCAAATCTCCGAAGGGCCACACGCGGCGTACAGGAAACCTGGATCCTCACCCCAACCTTTCTGAATGGGAGCATTAATCGAATAGGGGATCGGATACACCATTCATAAGCCCATTTACCAACCCATTCACGTGGATCCGACGACCGAATCAATTGAGGGGTAGATTTATTATGTCGTCGATTCCCTACTCGAACTGCGGGGGGGGGCGGAGGAAACGACTTGGAATCGGGAGTACGTCACCGATACGTCTGCGATTGGCCTCCGATAGCAAACCAATGCGCTCCTCAACGGGGCGGCCTTTTGGGCCCCCATCGGCGATGATTGGGCTTCTGACGGTCAATGCATGTCCCCCTGAGCCTACCCCCCTCTCCCCTCGGATCCTCGTCGTCTGGTTTCCGTGGCATAATTGGGGCGTGCTGCTGCCGTTCGGGACGTCACAAACCACCCCTCAGAAGGCTGCTTCCCAGAAGGCGCCAGCCTGCCACCTATAGACAAGGCCCGCGCCTTCTAAAAGGCAGGGGTGCTTCCAAGACGCACTCCTGCCTCCCCCACCCCCCTCTCTGCGCGTGGCTGGCACTGGCGGGACTCCATGGGCTAAGGGGGGGCAACCAAGCCCCCCCTCCGCGGAGGCGGCTGCCGTCCGCTGGCATTCGGCGTGCAAGCTGGACCGTTGCGCTGCGTCTCAGAAAAGCGTCGCCGCGCTCCATCGAGCTGGCGTGCGTCGCGTTTGCTGCGCTCGTCGCTCTGGCCAGCGTCGCGGCGCTAGTCCCCGCCGCATTCCCACGCGGCGGAAATGGGGGGTGCGTCGCGCTGCGCGTCGACGCGCTGATCCACGCTGTGACGATGGCACCCGCCGTGACGATCAAACTCGCGCGGCTGGCGTCGAACATTCAAACCCATGGTGACTGCCGACGTGGAATTGTGGCGTTCGGTCGCGCTGCTCGGTGTCGGGCCATTCGCGCCCGTCGCGCTGCGTTGCGTCGCGGTCACGGCGCCCGATGGGCAACCCACTTTTGCAAGGCCGCGCCAAGCGCCGCTCGCTTAAAACGCGCCCATGGGAGCCAATCGCGGCCCGCTGATCAGCGCCGCGTAGGCACCGCCCGCCACGGCGCTTGCCGATGGGTGTCCGATGCGCCCGTCGCGCCACCTGGCGTCGCACTGGGGGCGCGCGTCGCACGGCCCCCTGGCGCCCGTCGGGTGGCTTGGCGTCGCGCTGGCGGCGCCGGCTGCGCCCATTGTCACGGAACGCCATGGCTTGACCCAAAATGGCAACGGATGATTGGGGGGCGGGCAGCAGACGGGGCACGAAGAACGCGAAGGAGCGGAGCACTAACTGCGGCAGCGTCGGCTGCGCCCGCGTCGCCACTGCCATCACCGCGCGCGCCCGTTGCTGGCGCAGCAAAACCGCCAGCGGCGCTTTTGACAGAGGATCAGAACTGGGGGGGAATCGCGCGGCGGAAACAGGGGGGGGGCAGGGCAGAGAAAAGGGGGGCGGGAAGGTGAGGGTAAACAGCGAGGGCGAAACAGAAAGAAAGAGGAAATGGGGGCGCGAGCGGGGGCAGAAGGGCAAGGAGGAGGAAGGAGGGGCTGAGGGGCAACGGCGCAAAGGGAAGCGGAAAAAAGGGAGAAACCAACGGAGCGATTAATGCACAGGGGCGGGGAGGAGGACATGGAGGGCGAAGCACGGGGGAAATGAAGGAAGGGGGCAGAGATAATGCGAAAGAGAAAACCGAAGGAGGATGGGGGGGATGGCCAGGGTGGGGAAAGGAGGGGGAGGAGGAAAAAACAGGTTGGAGGAAGGGGGGACGGGCGAATGAGAAAAAAAAAAACGATGGAGGCGCGGGGAGGGGCTAGAAGGCGCTGCAGTACATGCCCGTCGCGAACGCCAGCGTTTCCGGCGAGAAGGCGGCGCGCTGGGCGTCCCCGCGCGAACTGCAGGGGTCAAAACGCGGCCAAATCGGAGATGCCGCGCCCGAGTCGGGGCGGCCAGGGGTCTGCTCGCCCTGTTAAGGCACAGGGGGGGGCCTAAACCTCCTGTCTGTCATGTACTTGTACGCGGTATACGCTGCGACCCTGCAGTGGCCGTAGCGAATTCCATTTTTTGTGCGACGTGCGCGCTACGTTCCCGACTGGGTTTTCACGACAAGCGGGGCCGCTTGCGTTCACGCCTGCGCCCCGCTCTGGGGCCCCGGGGGGGCCTCCCAAGAGAGAAGGCACGGGGCCTCCGGAGGTTCCAAAAAAAAACCGCGGGATCTACGCTGCCATCTGCAGCGCCCTGCACCGCACGCGGTCCGAAAAGGAGCGGGGCGGGGGAGGAGGAGGACGAGGGACGAGGAAGACGGGGGGAGGGGCGGGACGGGAAAAGGATAACGAGGAGGGGAGGGATGGGGGAGCGAAGGGAGCAGGGGGGCTTGGGCGGGAGAAAAGGCAGAGGCGGGGGCGGCGCCAGAGGAAGAGGCAGGGGGAACAGGAAAAGTGAGAGGGGGGGGGGAGCGGGGATGGGCAGGATGACAGAAGAAGGGGGGGGAGGAAAGAAGAGGACAGGGAGGAAGGGGGGGAGGAGGACGAGGAGGGAAAAGGGGGGAAAGGAGGGGGAGGAAAGCGCAGACTAATCGGCGGCAGCAGACGGGGACGGGGGCATTCACGAAGTGGGCGAGATGCTGGGGAAGGGCGAAGGAGGAGGGGGAAGCGCGAGGAGGGATAAGAGAAGAGGCGGGAGGGACGAGGGGAGGGGCGGGAGGGAGGATGGAGACAAAGGGGGGAGAAAGGAGAGGAAACCACCAAAGAAAAGGCAGGCTGACGACGAAGGAGGAGAGGGGGGGGTGAGGCGGAAGGAGGATGGAAGGGCAAGGATGCAAGCTGAAGCGGAAACGAAGATAGGCGGACTAAGGGAAAGGGGGGGTGCATAAAGAAGGAAGCGGAATGGATGGCTGATCGATTGATGGATGGAACGCGCGGGCGGGCGAAAGAGCTCCAGCGATGACAACGGCGCCCAAGGCTTGCGCCGCGCGCGCTGCGGCGCGCAATTGCCGCGGCCTGAAATTCAACGCGACGAACGCGGGGCGCGCCTACGGGCCGCCAACAGAAACGCGAACCCAACGCTGACAAAACGCTGGCAATGCATCCGCCCGCTGGCACGCGCAGGCTTCCGAAACTGACGCAGAACGCCTGCGCGAGCGACGGCGCAAATCAGCTCGCCCGCGCGGAACCACGACAGCCGCCGCGCGCCAGGGGCGACGCCGAGGAAGCAATGCAGAACAACCAAACCAAGGACTACTCTGGCCGCTTCGCGCCACGCCGTCGCCATGCCCGACCCGAATATGACGAACATTTCAGAACGACCGCGCGCGCGGGCCAGGTCCGACCCGGCACCTCCGAAACCGCGCGACGCGTCGAAAGCTCGCGCTAAGCTCAAACATCTGACAACCTACATGACGTAACCCGTCAAGGGTTGAGCAACTCACCATCCCAACGCCAAACAAATTCACCCTGTGCCCCGCGCGACAAGAAGCCAGCGAGTTCGGCGAAGCAGCGGGCCGCATGCCGCGTGACGACACCGCCCAGACAAGCGGCGAACTGACAGAACACCCTGACCGCGTTGACAACGAAGTGGCCCCAACCAGCACGTCGAAGACACGCTGAACTACGACTGCCCAGCACGTCGCCATCGCGCCGTCGCCGGCGACGAAGCACCTCGCGAAGGACAGCGAGGCAAGGTCGCAAACGCCCAGCACGGCGTGCCGTCGGCGGGATGGTGTCGCGTGTTTCCTGGTCGAGATAGGGAGCCAACAAAGGACGCACGCGCCGCATGAACGC